ATGTGTGTGTGAGTGTGCGTGCGAGCATGTGTGTATGAGTGTACATGCGGGTGGATGTGTGTGTGTGTGTGTATATTATGGGTGTGCATGCACACTTGGGTGTGTGTGTGTGTGTGTGTGTGTGTGTGTGTGTGTGTGTGTGTGTGTGTTTAGCGTGCGTGCATGCATGTGTGTACATATGTACGTTTTGTCTTTTGTGATCAGTCTTGAGAGTAAATATATGGTCTGTTCCCATCTGTCTGTTCCCATTCCCATCTGTCTGTTCCCATCTGTCTGTTCCCATCTGTCCATTCCCATCTGTCCATTCCCATCTGTCCGTTCCCATCCGTCCGTTCCCATCTGTCCGTTCCCATCTGTCCGTCCCCATTCCCATCTGTTCCCATCTGCCCGTTCTCATCTGCTCCCATGTCCGTTCAAATTTGTTCCCATCTGTTGAGCAGTTATGATTTTTTTTACGGCCTCGGAGGACTGACAGACAGATGGTTCAATATGAACATCCTATAGAAAAACAACGACGCACAACAACAAATATTAAAAGTTTATTAAATTGTTTATCATAATTATTAGGCTAGAGATTTAAAAAACTTGTCACGATGATATATCAGTATGTATGTATGTAAAAGAAAAAAAAGTAATTAAAAGAGAATTTTTCTTCTCCTCTCAAGTAAGTACTTTTACTTTGAAGAAATTATATTTTCAAATCACAAAAGGATCATTTTATCACAGGTTTGGGATGCACGATGAGACACTGTGCACGACATAAGAAAAAGTTTTAAAAAATGGGGCACATCTTCGAGAGAGAAGGAGCGCTGATTATTTTGCCCAAAGTGCAAATGCTGAGGGCACAACAAACAGTTGTGAAGCCATAAAGCCAGACGTTTATTTTCTTACATCTCTGAGATTTGGGCCCATAGTGCGAGGTCAACAACAGCGTAGTACAGTACAGTTTGTCTTGGTATGATTGTGCCTTTTTCAAATACATCATTCAACCAATCAACTTGTGCCACATGTAACATATCATTAGCAGGGAGAAATTCATTTGGACAAAGAAAAATATATTTATAAAAGATAAGATAATTCACATCTTGAATAAATTTTCAACGGTGGCTAACGACTCAAAATGTATTCTGGCAGCCATAAAAGTATACCACTTTTGTTTAATATATCAAAACAATACAGTTGTCATTTACGGAACAAATAAAAAAATTGGAGTGAAAATGTTGGGAAAAATGGTTTTACAAAAAAATAAAATGACCAATGAGACTCTGAATTGCAATAGTTTACAATTCCTCCACATTATTCAGTGAAGTCAAGTTGTGCTAAAACTTTGTCTTCTGTACCTTCATTCATGTCACAAGCTAGGGACGGGCAAACTTTTGGATCAGGGGCCCCTTCAACAGGGTTATGAATAGGAAATGGGCCATGCCTGTAAAATCTGCACATAGTAGTAAGCTACGTAAAATTACTCTTCTTTCATTGGGATAACTCAAAATACAAAGCGCATCAATATAAAACAATTATTTGATGACTGTGACACTACAAAAGCTGGTCTTGGCTCAGGTATATATTATATTGATATTTGAGCTATTTGAGAATTTTAAAAATTTCTACGAACGTTTCCGAGCGCCGCATAAAACGTTGTGAAGGGCCACATTTAGTCAGCGGGTCGTAGTTTGCACACCCTTGTTATAGATGAATCAAAGAGAAGCAAGTCTCCCAACAATGTGCGTCTAATAAAAACAAACAGTGTCAGAGTAAAACAATAGAAAAAAACCATTACAAAAAGTTGACTTTTAAAAAGGCAGATACGATCATCAAAAACGTCTTCTCCCACACACACGGAAGTAAAAAGATATGTATGTTACGTACCATCAAAATTGATTATATAATATATTTCTAGAAATGTAAAAGTGAAAAAGAAGGCACCTTAAATGGAATCTGAGGGAATGGAACTTCAAAAGTAAAGGCTTCAGGAAATTCACATCCTGGGCAGAATTTCGTTATATTGGAACAAAAATCTCCATCCACTTATGAAATTAACCGAAAAAGACGACAGTAGTCACGTTTCTTTCTCTTTTTATGTCTTGAAAACGAGAATGACTTGGGAGACCCTTAGCCCCGTAGTTTGTCGTAGTCAGGTGAGCATTCAAGGAGACAGCTTAATTAAACACAATGCACAAAAAAAGAACATTCATATAAATGCAACAATGTGTGCTCAACACATTGCAAACAGATAAGTTGCAACGGTAATAAAAGGGCTATAAAAGTGATACGGGTTCATTAAAAAAACCTTGAATCCATCCAATATGTCGTTAATCTCTACTTTCCTGCTTTGTTTGAGACAGAAAAAAAATAACATTAATGAAAAGACTTTGAGTATCATGATCACAGTTACCTAAAGTCTGACTGTTCTCGTCAGTTTTACTTTGATAGGCTTCTCTCGCCCAGACTTGGCATCAAACATTTAAATTTAAACGACAAACATGGACAGAAAGAGTTTTGGCAGGTGTTTCCAAATATAAAGGAACAGACTTAAACCTAAACACCAATATTTCAGTTCTAAACAGTAAATAATACAGTACCGTTCCTTGATTTATTTGTCCAATTAAGCTGACATTGGGAGCCTTAAAGTCCACTCTGTGGCAAATTCAAAAAGTGAATCAGATGCATTCAAACATTTCGCAAAAAAAAGGGGCATTTTGTCTAGATCACTCAAAAGTTCTAAAACCGATTTGATGAATATGTGAACTGACATTTCCAGCAGTTTTGAAGATGAAATGAACATTACAAAATCCATAGTACAGTAGATGAGTCTACGTGATAAACCGACGAAAAGATAATGCTGCAGCAGGACAAATAAGCAAAACAAAAATATAGTGAACACTATCGTTAGTCAAATTCTACGAATAAATATAAACAATAGAATATTTTGCTAGAATGATATAAAGGCAGGAGAGCTGGATAAAAACAGAGATATGTTGGCTTTGATGTTGCGAGCAAAATTCCCCCTCCCCCCAAAAAAAACTTTAACTAGCTGCCTTGCAAGATGAGACTTAGGCTTTGCTTGATGGGTCTCATATCACAGTACGACGTGTTTACAAAATTCATGTCTCAGATTCAGTAGCGTCTCGGGTCAAGCTGTCTCTTGGTAGTAAAGTGGAGCCAGAATCCCATCATTCATAATATTTTGTAACAACTGGGAAAACTAGTCTTATACATATATATATGTGTGTATTCTTGATTTTTCTAATCCCTTTCATTTAAGTTAACCCAACTACTGAAAGTATCCCCATATCCCCACTCTTTTTGCTGTGACTTATAAAGATTTACACAGTTCTTTCTTCCAATTGTTGCTTTCAGAAAGGACTAAGCACACTTTTCTTTCTTTCTTTTGGCATTGTTCAGAACGCATCTCGCAGGAAATTTCTTCAAGAATCGTCCCAGTCTCACTAGCGTTGTCATAGCTGAGTTCTACAGAACTGTGGTCGTCCGGATCTCCATGAAGCAACTTTGTTCCCTCGCTTTTTTTCCTCACATTATCTTGAATTTGGTAACCTGGTCCTGGTCCTTTGAGTTTCATCCAGCTGTTAACAGAAATAGTGAAGCTGATGTCAAACACATGCTCAAAGAGGAAATCCTGAAGCTATTAAATGGTTGTAGTAAAATTCTTCAGTGGAATAGACAGCTGCAAAAATGAACCTCGCACCTGTTTCTTGTAGATCAGAGAAGAATATTTGTGTGTCACATCACGGTGGAATAAGGTCCTCAGCAGTTTATGGACATATGGAGTTAATGGTGTCATCATAAATCTTGAGCTTAATCAAAGCTTGGTAGAAGCTGTGATATCAATAAATATTACTTTACTTTCCCCACCCAGCGACTATTTGAGTTCTAGCCCTTTGGCCTGTCGATATAGTAAAGTTTGACAAATTTTTATCAGCTGCATTTTGTCTCTGTATAGAGATATCAATGTAACAAAATGCCGGTTTTTGCGGCTGAAGGATATACATATATACAAAGCACTAGAGAGTGGTTCATTGAGACTTATGAGAGACATCTACAGCACAGTCAAGGGATTAATTAACTCTTTCCAGACGTAGCTTTTTTGGGGTCTAGACATAATTAACCTGTGGCTCGATTTGGCTATACAAGTGGAGTACAAAATAACTTCATAGAAGCATAACCATCACTATATAATGATATGATATATCAAATTGAAGGAAATTGAATAAGGAATACATCCCAATATAAAACAAGGATTAATTTTGAGCATAAGTATGCATTACAAGGGTTAGAAACGGCCATGGTGATGAGAAAAATAAATTTTGACAGAAAAAAATTACATTCACAAAAAATGTGAAAGCAAATCAGCATAGCTATCTTATCATATACAGGCTTAGAGCATAATCCATAATTTTCTGAATGCGCAGCTTTTTAATTGAAAGCAATATTCCAATTTTTGTTTGAGTTATGAAATTTATACTGAGTCCTGTAACATAGTTTTGTTGATGGAAGACCGCAAGAACTAATTCATTCGTTTTTCCCTAAACCCACGCTTTGACAAAGTGAAACTAGATGCTTTCGTTTCCTAAATCCTTTCCGAGTTTTTCAATAGCAATAAAAAAAAGTAAATATAAATGACGGATCGTGTGAAAACAAAACAATACTGAAGCACCCTATCACAGCCGATATATCGACGATACGTTCGGAAAGAGTTAAAAGACTAGACACTCACCACTAAGCACTGACCAGACTGGTGTGCCTACTAATCAGTACAGAAGCCTCTCCGTTCGGAGCCTTGCCAGGCGAAGCTCCAGGTCAAGGTCATCAATGGACTTGTAGTAGGAGTCGTAGACTCGCGCCAGGCGACGAGACCGGGCGTACTCGCGCTCCTGGGTGTGCAACAAAAGAAGACATGTTTCTAAAACAACGGTTCGTTGGAAAGTGAAAAGTAATGAAGAAACAGATCATGAAACAGATCATCAGTAAAACAAATATCAATGGAAAGAGAAATGAGCAGATCAATTAATCTATTTTCTGATCTGTAACAAAGAAAGATACAGAAGGTCATTTTTACCATCATCTATCAAAATGCTTCCATCTTAACCATCTTGTTTAGTGTACTTACGACCTTAGAGCATGCATCAAAATAACATTGAGTGTGTATCTAGCTTACGATTATTATTGTTTATATTGCTGCTCATTTATATTATGCATGTGATTGTAAGCCTACTTGTTTATGCATGTGTGTGCACGTGTGTACGTGTGTGTGTTTATGTGTGTGTGTGTGTGCGTGTGTGTGTGTGTGTGTGTGTGTGTGTGTGTGTGTGTGTGTGTGTGTGTGCATGTGCGTGTGTGTGTGTGTGTGTACTTGTGGTGGAACACCAAACCAATGTGCCAGGATCTGGACAATAAAGATGTATCTTATGTTTATGTATCTTAAAACAGTGGAAGCAAATTCTAGGAAAATATGCTGAACTCTACCAAATACACATTGTGCAAAAGGGCCGATTCATCCAATTGTCTTTGACTTTGATTTGCCCCTACACAGTGTAACTACAATTCTGACGTGACTTCTTCGCTCAAAAGTACTGGGGTCCCCGTCGATGTCAACCTTTTGAGCCCTGACCTCCTGAGGCTACCGTGCCCCTCTGCCCGAGTTCCTGAGCCAATCACGTTTTCATTCATATCATTGTCAGAGTCACATTCCATTCCCCACTCAGAGAAGCCCTCGTCATTACCAGCATCAAATTCAGAAAGCTTTGGTGCTGGGGGGAACTGAGCACTTATGGACATGTCCGGTGTGCAATGACACTGTTGCCCAGGACAGGTAATAACAGGTAATTCAGAAAGATCTTCAAAAGAATCAGTAACGTCCTGTGTAGTAAACACTGTTTTCTGTAGATATTTTGTCCCGGGCGGGCCGGTTTGGGGATGGGATCCTGCTCGCCGGTGTACCGCTGGCTAGGCATTCCGGCAATTTTACACGCCACCAGTGTACCAGTGGCTAGGTTTCAAAGGGTTGAATTACAAAAATTGAAGATGATAAAAATAAAAATAAAAATGAGGTGTAAAATCCGAGCAAACTGAACTTAAAACAATGTCTCTTCCATTTCTCAAGAGATATTTCAGAAGCAAAAAACTAATATTCAAAGTAGAAATAGTATTCGATTTTATAGCACTGGCCTTTTTAGCTACTTTCAACTCACATATCAGACATTCAGAGGAAGATCTCTTTATGCTGGACTGCAAAGAATAATGAGCACAGTTTCTGAACTATGCCTAATAACAATAGATAGCATTTGTATAGCGCAAATCCCCGCTCAATAGCAAGCTCTATGCGCTTCACAATCTATACTACTACCCCAGCAGACCTGAGAGCATTCTCAAACAACCTCAACTTCCTGGGAAGCATACAGTGTAAGCAGCCATTTATAGGCGCTAAAACACTAACATACTGACAAGATCTTTCGCTGTCTATGGCCGGGTACCCATTTCCACCTGGGTGAAGTGAGGAAAATTTGTGTAAAGTGTCTTTCTCAATGACACAACGTCAGGGGCGCGGCTTGAACCCCTGACCCCGCAACCTCATGATTACGAGTCCGGTAGCCTAACCACTAGGCCACCGACGCCTACAGGGGAAGCAGTAACGGGTTTCACAAACATCATACTCCCCCCCAGGAAAGTGTTACTGACTGAAGTTGTCTTTACGCCATTTCCAAAAGGGAGGGGGGGGGGGGGGGGTAGGGGGAGGATATTAACCTGTTCTTATGCACAGTAGAATTGTAAATGGGCAGATTTATCAATGTCATGCTCATACTGTGCCAGAACAACATAGGGGGAACTGCTGCTTTTTCCTTCTTCATCCTTACTATCGTTTCAAAAAGTTGGCAGCTGCGTACAAGTCTTTTTTTTAAAGTAGAGGTTTTTTGGCACTCGCAACTGCATAAGGTCATATGAGCGCCAAGGAGTGGATGTCAACAGAGAAGCCCTTAGAGGGAATCAAACTTACTCTGCTCACCTCTCTAGCTTCAACAGCACAAAGTCTGCCTCGACTATCAAGGCACCCATTCAAAAGAAGTAGAGGACAAATGACAATAGTAAGGATTAGGAAAGAAAAAGCAGCAGTTCCCTGTTGTAGATCAGGCACAGTTATGAGCGGGACATTGATGAGTCAGCCCATTTACAATTCTACTGTGCATGAACGAAAAATGTCCCCCCTTTGGGAATGGCCTAAAGACACTACAGTCAGTGGCACTGCCCGGGGGGGTGTACAAGTCTTGAAGGAGGGAAGTTAAGATTGTAAAAAAAAAAAAGCTCACCCTTTCCAGAACACGTTCGTAGTATGTGGGGCTGAGCGGGTCAGCGTAGCGGAGACTGAAGGGGCTTCTGTACAGCAGGGGGCTCACACTGCGGGGGCGTGGCGATTTGTAGGAGGGCGTGGTTGAGGTCAAGGCTGCAACTTCACAGTCTGTGAACAGAGAAATGTTTTTGGAGTCCGGGGAGATCAATAATGTCAGTCTGTCAACTTAGATTCTTCTTCTTTTTTCAGTGCCAGATCTAAAACAAACATTAGTCATCAGTACTCCACTAATTTCCCTGTTCAGACGTTCTCATAAACCAATATATGTGAGGCAGCGTGGTGGAATCAGGCTCTCGTCAATTTTTGGGCACGCTGAGTTATTGATGTCATCTTAAAGCTTCTTCATTTGTCTTTATGTCAATGAAAAAAAGTATCCATTTATCTTGATTACAAGTCGAGATATTTGCGAATGAAGAAGGTGGGGTCACCTGTTTTCAGAGGTAAAATTAGTGAGAAAATGGCCACCAAAGATTGGTAATTTCCTTAGCTTAAGAGTCCGTGGTAACTGAAAATTTACATTTTTTGTGCCCTTAATCAACGTTTTTAAGAAAAATCCCCCAGAAATGAGTTCTTTAATGGGTATGAAAGGTGTTGAGCCAAAAAACAAAAACTTGATAAAAATTTACAAACCTGTGGAAAAATGCAAGTTTCTTCACCTTGATTATTTTGACAAGAGCCTGATTCCACCACGCTATATAAAATATTTTACCACGATGAGACTATGAGGAAATAAAAGATGTATATTCTATTTTTTTAATGCTGTGGAAGCATCATTTATGGATAAAAATCTCGTTACATTTCTTTATCTACACAACAAAAGTTTTTCAAGAGAATCTGGAAGAACCTCTACTACTACTACAATGTATATATTTCTAATCCTCTGGACCGTAGACAATGAGAGGACCAGGAGTTTCCGATCTTTTCCCGGTGAGAGTGCACAACATCCAAAGAGAGGGACAATAAGTAAAGAAGGCAAAATTTGCACATGATCACATACCTAGATCATCATATTTTGGCTTGAAAACTGGTAGAGGGTCCTCGTATGTGCTTCTGATTACCTGAAAATACAAAGTGTAAGATAAGATAAGATAAGATAAGATACATCTTTATTGTCCAGATCCTGGCACATTGGTTTGGTGTTCCACCACGAGTACACGCACACACACACACACGCACACAAACACACACACACACACACACACACACACACACACGTACACACGTGCACACACATGCACACACAAGTAGGCTTACAATCACATGCATAATATAAATGAGCAGCATGAGCAATATAAACAATAATAATCGTAAGCTAGATACACACTCAATGATATTTTGATGCATGCTCTAAGGTCGTAAGTACACTAAACAAGATGGTTAAGATGGAAGCATTTTGATAGATGATGGTAAAAATGACCTTCTGTATCTTTCTTAACACGACTTCTTGGAGAAATTTCAATATCACTGTACTAATAGGTCCTGTAAGTTGTTGTAAATTGTAATTATAGCTTCTTTTCCACTTCATTGATACAATTTAATTCATATATATATAGAGAGAAAACAGGCTGCTTTGGGCCTGTTTTATGTGACAAATCTGGGCTGCGTGGGATACATTCCAGCAGAAAGATGGTGGAGGCGCCCTATAAAATGTTTCTCCTGTGTGGTAATCAAAACTCACGTCTGCTGACTGCTCAGCCAGAAGCCCAACATCTGAACATAGCGACTAGAGCAAGATAACATAAGGGAATCTATGCTCCCCTACTTTCAAGACAGTGAAAGAAACTGAAACATAAATGAGCTCATATAACTGCTCTTACTCAAAATTACAAAAACTATATTTTAATTTTACAACGATTAACACGGAAAAAATAAAAAATTTGATCATATCTTAATACACCTGCCCACTTCACAAAGGCTTTATTAAACAGTACATAACACAGATCTATAAACTGGAACAACCTAAATAGGTGTAAAAAGAAAAAAATGCATGTGATACTAAGACTACACATTTTTTTTTCATTTTGAAAATCACGATCAAAAGTGGCGATAGTTGTCCCTGCTAGCACAAGAGTTCCTTACCTTTGACAAACGGTACGAAGGCAGGGGACTGATAGGCCTGAGCGGACGGGCCGACCCTGCCAAAAGCAACACACAAGTTTCACAATGGAAAAGAAGTTTCTATCTTTTGGATTCCTTTTTTACAAATCCAACGTTGTTTTCCTACTTCAAAAAGTCTATCAAAAAGGTTCTTCCAGCTATCTTAAAAACCAATGGAGCATTTATAAAATCAAAATAGCATGTTCAAAGAGAGAAGGAAACATTTTGTCACTTGTATACTGATTACACAGGCAAAACAGGGAGGTGAAGTTATAGTTGAATTATATCCATTGTTAAAGGAAAAAATTTAAAATAATTCTTAAATCCATACAACATTCATTTCTAAATCACAGCTAACTACATTGAAACCAGGAATGAAATTTGTTTGAGTACATCCTGTACTATTACACCCTTC